TTCGGTGTGGCGCTGCCTGCACCATGAGCCATCAGGGCGACTACCCTGCTGTACCCAGCTGCTGCTTCACTCGTGTTCAGTCTTGACTGCGTTGTTTTCCAATAGACACTGCGTTTTTCTCAGAGGGAAAAATCAATTGTAAAAATGTTGAATTGTGTAACAAGTTGGAAAAAAAAAGAGCAACGCTTGCCAACTGAAGTATGAAACTAGTGGGGGCAGGAGGGGGAGGCATTAACTGTAGTGTTTCAATTTCCAGGATTTGTAGACAGTGACACCTCTCTAAGGCCACTTGTAATTGTTTGCCGCCCTTTGTTTCTCTACAGGTCTCTTAGATAACCCTGAACTTCGTGTGGTCCTTGTGTTTGGCTACAATTGCTGTAAGGTGGGAGCCAGCAATTACCTGCATCGAGTGGTCAGCACTTTCAGCGATATGAATATCATCCTGGCGGGCGGCCAGGTGGACAACCTGTCATCACTAACTTCTGAAAAGTATGTATGATGGCTTCTGACTGTGGTTGAGGGAGGGAAAGATCGCTAACGCTCTTTTAAAGCATTTTGGTCTCTGCCGTACAACTGCAGCACACAGGTTGTTGATCCCTTGCCTTCAAGAGCCATCTACCTCTCTTTCTAAGAGGGGCGCCGAGATACCACTAACGTGGCACAGAGCCACTCAGTGCTTCCCTCACCCGATGGCACAGTGTGTGTCCACTGAAGTGACTGTCGTGTAAAGAGGGATGATTCAGGGGATGTTGCCCGGATTGTTAAGTAGAAGTAGGTGACGCACAGAGGGCCACAGTAAAGAGCCCCACGTCAGATGCTATGAAACTTTGGTAACTCAAGGGTAAAGTGCCTGTTAAAATCACCAGTTATTTTTAAACAACTTCTAAAGGTGAAAATTGGGTACGGGCAGAAGAACCACCAATTATGCTAACCCCTCCCCGTGTGCCTCGCAGATCTCTGTGCCACACCACCCTTGGGTTTCCAAGGCCCCTAGGGGTGGGCTTGAGCTGCCAGCCACGTGGCTTCACTGTGCCATCCAGGGACTCTTAGCCCAGAAACAACCAACCAAACCCAAACCCACTGACATGGAGTAGCTTCTGACTCCCTGGCACCTCCCCTTTCAGCGTCTGCATGCACACAGCAATCAGTGCCAGATACACCACACCCAGGACGCAGTGACTGTGCCACATGTTAGTGGTGTCTTGGGCCCCCTCTCCTTAGAAAGAGAAGTAGGTGATTCTTGAAGGCAAAGGGTCGACAACGTGTATGTGTGTGTGTGTGTGTGTGTGTGTGTTGCAGTCGTATGGCAGAGCAGAAGTGTGTGTGAGTTAGGAGGCAGCAGAGGATGTCCGAAGATGGATTTTGCCCCTCTCCACTAGTGTTGCCATTGGCTAGCTTTCTGAGGGCAGTCGGCGTGTAGCAGGGGTGCACTGGGCAGCTAACTGCAAGGTCAACAATTTAAAACCACCAACTGCTTCTCAGGAGAAAGATAAGGCTTTCTCCTCCGCGCAGAGTTCGGCGTGAGAGAACCCACAGGGACGTAGCCGCCTGCCCTGCA